CCTTTTATTTTCACACTGCATGTAAAACAGAGTTTTACAGAGAAAAAAAATTCTAGCACAGTACAATGAAATAAGAGCAGTTTGTTCAAAAAAATGTGTTAAGAGAGTGTTATTAGTGAGGGCCTTATTTCCTGCTGGATCATTTGTCACAATCACATGGAAATACAACTCTGAACAGACCTCTGACCATCAGGTATCAAAATATGCTGTTTGGTTTCTTTAATATTACAAATTACTGCACACAGCACTGACTTGTGGGAGCTGTCTTAATTAGAAGGGAATTGACTGCAGGATTTTTCTCAGTTTCTCCCAGGGAAAGTTAGTGCCTTAGCATGGGAACACAGCAGCTTTCCTGAAGGAGCTGGGAAGTGCATTCTCCACCTACAYAGAAGATTTTCTTTCATAGAAAAATGGCCTGAAAGAAATATTCCCAATGTTAGAAATTATTTCATTTTACTCAATTTTCTTATTTGTATTGCATTAAACCCTGATGCTAATCCACAGAGGTAACTGTTCCTCACCTGGGAAAGTGATTCCTGTTATCATGAAAGCCAGAGAGAGCTCCAAAGCTTCCTGGTGAACCTGAAAATCAGGATTTTTCTCCTGTTTCACTAGCATTAATTCCCCCTTCCTCCCTTCGTGTCCAGCTACAAATATTCCTCTGCAGAGCAGCCCAGTTACAGTGAAAATGCCATGTTAGTGTCTGAGGGGAATTTATTCACAAAGAATCCAACTGTGGCCGCAGTCCCTGCGTGGCTTCACGTTATGGAGCTGCTTGTGAGTGAACAAATGGTTTTGGATTCCCCATTTTTGTGGATCTGTGGAGACATCAGTTATGCTCTCCTCTAGCTCATTACAGCTGGAGGAGTTTCTGTGCTGAGTTTCTGTTCCCTGTTCCTTTGCCATCTCTGTGCRGTGCCCTTCATCTGCGGTGGAATCACCACCCTGCTCTCACCAAACAGCACASATTTGTTTGTTTAGGGTGTGTAAAATARAAAATTTTAAATAAAATAAAATATACATAGAATTTAAATCATCAATCAAACCAGGTGCAGGTAGTTGTGTAGAAACTGCAGCCCCATACAGAGGGTGAAAAAGATCTTTCCAAACCAAAATGTCCAAAGCAAATACAAAGTGCAAAGTGGTTTGATTGTTTCTTTATATTTATCCAACTTTGGCAATGTGAACCATCACAACTCGCAGTAACTAAGCCAGGAAAACAAATTATCCTGTAGTCCTGAGGACCCTGAGGGGATGYTTTTGTGTGGGAAGGTGTTTGGGTACTGTTGTGACAGCGCACAGATTAAAGCTGAGAGGGTGTAGTAGTGTTTTACCCCAAACCTATCAAAGCTGAAGGTGATCCTCCAAGTGTGGTGCATATCTTAGAGTTTGAGGGATCTTTGGGATATTTTTGKGGGTGTGACAGGGAACGTGGGTGTGTGTATAGTTGCATTTTCTCTGTGGTTACATTTCATTAGTGCCCTGGTAAACTGAAAGCCTTTTCAATTAATTTGGAATTGTTTCTGAATACAGGTGTTGTGTCTTCCCCCAAAATGGAACTGGCATTTTAAGAAATGGGCTGTGTGAGAGTGATCCACTTMAGAATGTAAATATTTTCTGTCATTTATAGAAGCATCCCAAGTGCTCTCAAAAGTACAGCTATTTAGAGCTGATCTACTTGCTGTTTTTCTAGATAACTGCCCTTTCATTATCTTTATTAGAAACCAAGAATAAATGTAGAATCTGTACAGATCTACCAACAGCAAGGCAGTACTGTCTACAATTTTTTTTTTTTTTTTTTTTTTTTTTTATTTTTATTTCCTGGCTTGGAGTAAGGATTGTGTGACCTTCCTGCTTGGTTTTAATGGCACGTGGAGAGCTGAACCATGAGGAATTCTGATATCCCAATTCTGATAATTCTTCTGATTCCTCTGCCTTCCTTGGCACTAAAAGAGAGAGCAGAGGAGCAGGATGAGGCTCAGTGCCTGTGCTGGAAAGGGCTGGCACAGCTGAGGGTAAAGGGTGGAAAGCTGTTGCTTTCTCTCCCATTTTGGGTTCCTCATGGCTGGGCAGGAGCTGGATGTGGCTCTTGTCTGAATCACACTCTCAGCTGGAACTCTGACATTACTCTCACCCTCCTCGCTGAAACAATTCTATAATGCTGGGCACAAAGGAACAAGTGCTAGTGAGTGACCCATAAAACAATAATTTTCCATTACCTGAGATGAAAAATGCATACACTGCTGCAGTTCTAGTTTGCAAGTTCTTCTGTAAGAGTTATAGACACATGAAAGGAGGTAATTCGGAAGTTATTTTACACTCAGTGCTCTGAATGTGGCTTAGGGTAAATGCTTTTTTGATGGCTTGTTCTGAGTGTTTTTCGCTTTTTATRGGTGAATTTTATTATGACCATTGGTTTGTAGGATGGAGAGTGGATATAAATAATGCATGGCAAAGATACCGATTTAGATTTTTCTATGAGAGACAAAACTTACAGTGTGATGGCGTCAGATTAGTAACAAAACTCCTGGTGGGCTGAAATATATTCCTCATATCATTGTGGTTCCATCTCAGTAACTGATGCCAGGCTCCCTGCCTGTGTTTTATTTCTAAAGGTACACAAGTTGTATGGATTCTTTCCTAATCCAAATGATGACGATCCAAATGCTGGCA